CACCCACCCATCCACCCACCCATCCATCCATCCTTCATTCCATCAGTCATCTGACCCACCCATCTGCATAGCCAGTCACGTGCCTTCACCCGCCCGTTCTTCAGCACAGCCACCTCACTGCCCATCTGTCCACCTTCTCATCCACCCATCCACCAGTTCACCCATGTGCCTGCACATCCATCCATCTGCTTGTCTACCCATGCTCCATCATCTCATTCACCCCACCATCTGGCTGTCCGCCTCTCCATCCAGCCACTCTACTGGGAGCCAGCTACCCCTCATCCCTCATCATCTGTTCCCTCCTGTCCGTCCAGCTGTCCAGCTGTTAACAAGACCCGGCTGTGTGCCAGGCCCCGTGCCACATGAGTCCCTTGGGTGTGCGTGTTATGTAACTGCCACATGCCTGTAAGGTCTTCCTTCTGAAGATGATGACCCCCTCTCCCTCCTCCCACACAACTCCAAAGGTGGGGACGGTTCGCTGGTGGCGAGTGCCGTCCATGTTTCTTCACTTCTCCTTCCTTAGACTGTGAGCTCCTTGAGGGCAGGGCCCAGGTCCGAGGGCTCTTTGGAGCCTCGGGCGAGCATCATCACCCAGGGAGTCCCCAGGACTACGCACACAGGGTTGGGTCCCTTTCTGGTTCTCTTAATGACTAGCTGTGTGACCTTGGGCGAACTTCTTACGATCTGCAAACAAGAGCAGATTGGACATTGATTCTTTCATTTGACTGACAGTAGAGTAAAAGCTCACGTTTAACCTATCCCTGCCCTGTGTTCTGCACCCTCCTGGGGGTTTTTCAAAGGCATTATTTTCATTCAGTGCTCAAGAAGGCTGTGAGGTGGGTACTAATGGTATCCCCACTCCACATAGGAGGATACTGAGGCTCAGTGAGGCAGTGCATCGATCTGTTGTCACACAGCTAGTGGGAAGCGGACCTGGAGCCCGATCCAGGTTTGATGGGAGTCTAGAGTGCTCTGTTCCTCCTGCACCAGCCTGCCTCCCTGGCAGGGAGAGTTAACTCAGCTCCTTACAAGAGCTCCAGATCCTGCCTCCCTCCAAATTACATCTAAGGAAAAATCAGTGAGCAACCTTACTGAAAGAAGATCACTCGTTAAACAAGCTAACACACACACACACACACACACACACACACACACACACACACACAGAATCCACTTTTTCTTTGGATAAGATAAATCTCTTTCACATTAACTAGACCTTTAAATGTGCTACGTTTTCTCAGGGAATGAAGGGCAGCCCGCTTGGCTCATTTTAATAATGAGTTTCTCTGTGGTCATTTTTTCAAAAAGAAAATAGCAACCCTCTGCCCCCGTTTTCTCTCTTCTGTGTGGTCTATTCATTCTTCCTCTATTATATTCGCCAGATAAAAGGA